GTCAAACTTCAAGATTTTTGGTCAAGATCAACATTTTGAAGTAATATTCATCATTTTATCAAGGGTTGATCATGATTCCCCAAGGAGAGCTCTCAGATCATCAAAAGTCAAGAATTATCAAATTAGGGTTTCCTTAGGAGAAGTCAACTGAAATTTGACCAAGCGTAACTTTCACATGCTTCATCAACTTTTCCCCAACCAAAGCCCATCTTGAATAAAATTCAATTCTCTACAATTTTGTTTTTGTGTTCAAGTCCAAAAAATTCCTCGTTTGAAAGATATGAGCTAATACATTATAGGTCATTTTCAAAAGTCAACAAAAGACACTTTTTGTCAAGGCCACTTGCATCAAGATAAATTCTCCAAATGCAAAAATGATCAAAAGAGAAAGTGAAGAGGACATCTTGAGCTTTCCAAAAAGTCAAAGATCATATTTAAAAGATGAAAATTTAGCAAGTTATGAGTTGCACAAGTTGGGAAATTTTAAAGAAAATACATGAAATGCAAAAGGTGCAAACTTTAAATTTTGGACTTGTGACCTAACCTTTTGGACTTCAAACATATACATGACTTTATAAGAGACCTCTAAACTCACTCCCACCATGTCTAGAGTTCTCTTATAATTTTATTTATATTTTATTTTGGTTTTATTCAAATGAACACAAAATAAAGTTAAATAAAATATGAAACCAATGGGCCAGCGCATGAGTTGATTTTTTTAGGGCCCATACAACATGTTATAGCCTGTCAAACTTGCCAATTTCGTGCACAAGACAAAATGGCAAGAAATATCTCAATTTTGGCAAGTTTTGAATTTGTTTTACCTTGTTTTATTAAGGTCATCATGACTTGGTTTTATACCATATTTGTCAGCCTAAGACACTTCTCTATATAAAGCAAACAATCAAATGGCCACAGAACTACTGCATAACAAAACTCTCCAAATTTCTCAAGAAATTCCAAAAATTCTCAAACTCGAAAACCCAACTTTCAGCCCATATCAATCTAAACCAAGGCCATCAATACACTCCTGAGATCTCCATGAGTCTTTCGGGGTCCATATTCGACCCCTAAGAATCCCATAATCCCTTCATACGGGCCCACCGGTTTGGTAAAATTTCTTGATCTCAAACTCTTTAATCATGTAATTTAAGTCAATGTTACGCATAAATTCATTTTATTGGTGATATTTGGATTATAACTAATGAGTTACATGCAAGTTTGGACGCAAGGATGAGGTCGTGCCATTGTTAGGGCAGGATCTCAAGAGAGCTTCGAGTCTCTCAATCCAGACGCTTTCATACCAAATGGACCTCACCATCAGATCCGTAAGGTCCAAATTAGTGGACATGGATATTTTATTTTCATTATTTGAGCCATTTTCGCAGGTTTACATTTTGGTGTGGTCGGAGAAGACGACCGGAGTTTGACTCCGGCGTCCCTGAGTCTTGTTAACTCCGGACAGGGCATGCATGGATTGAAACAACATTTTAATTTTTTCGTTCAAATATTCATGGTCCCACTGGGACGCGCATGTTTAATGATCTGGCACCAGCTGGCATTTCATATTATGATGTTTTGTTTGATTATGCTAACGGATGAATCACACCACCCCAGAGCAACACACGTGCACATAAGGCCTTCATGCTCCTTGTCCTGGGTTCGATCCAGGAGCAAGGCCTTTTTATTTTTTCTTATGTTATTCTGGAAGATCCGGTGTATACAAGCCTATCGCGCGTACAATACAACTCAAACCTGGGCCATCAGATCTCAAGTGTATCAAATCCAATTCCCCTGGATCTACAGGCATACCATGGGACGCAGGGATCCAGTCGTGTTGGATCACACATAGCTTCTGGGCTCAGTTCTTGTTGGGCCTAGCAAATTCTATCTTTACACCCCCCATAATTTATTTGCAGCACAGCCCATAACCTTTTTTTATTATTTGTTTTTCTTTTAATTTATTTCTTTCCTTTTCTTTTTAATTACTTTTTTATTAAAATCATAGAATAAAAAAAATAGATTAGAATTTTAATTAAGTAAATTAATTTTCATAAATAAATTAGTTTAACTACATTTATTTTTATTAATTTAAAATTAATCAAAGTTAGTTTTCACAATTAAATTATCTTCTTTTATAATTAAAATTAAAAACAACAAAAATATCTTTTTTACACTTAGAGTTTTTAGGGTTTTAGATATTACCTCTTTTCCATTATCCGCGCGATTGTCTACTTTTTTTCGTATTACTTTCATGAATAATTATAACTGCTCAAAGGGATGTAATAGTTTAAACTAGGATTTTTTTTACATTTTTATTTCCCCCATTTTGGTTTGTGTTCCCCCCATTCCGAAGCAATGTAATAGTGTAGTTTAATTTCCGCATTTTTATTTATCCGTACTTGTATATATTTAACTGTTAGATGTATGCTAAATAGGTTTGCATGGCAAGATTTAAAAACCAACGGTAGAAAATCTAAACATCCAAGACAAATAACTGAAACACAACACATTTCACACACGCGCACCTCTAAGATACCTCCACTTGTTGCCTTCGGAAAACAAATAGTCACGTCTCTCGAATGTGAGAATTTTTAGCAAAGACTCTTTGGTTACAAGATCATAGTCCCTTGATGATCCTACGATGCTGCCTCGGTAAATGAGCTTGACACCTTAGGGTAATTGCTAAAATATCTTATGAGTTGCTTTCGTGATTGTACGATGACCCTTGCTTGTCCCTCAAAACATCCAATGATAGGGCTACCTACTAACTAATGGTAAGGTAGCAATATCTAAAGGAAAAGAGGAAAAGAACAAAGACCATTCGAGTAGGTAGACAACTTGTAGTTGCTTGCTCACAAAACAAAACAATTTCTCACACATACATTCTCTTTTTCTAAATATTTTTCAAAGACAAAAACACTTTGTATGCATTCTCAACGATACGCGAATCATTATAAAGTTCGTCGCACTAAGGCGCATTTTCAAAAATATTTTCAAATACACTTACACCAAATAGCATTTTCAAAAGTGAGCTAGCAACTAAGAGTCCGTAGATAACTACGGATGGAAAGGGTGATAATACCTTCCATTTCCATAACCTACCTCCCGAACTCAAAATCTTTAAAAAAGGTATTTCTTGTTCTTTTCACCCTTTCCTTTGTTGGATAAAAGAAAAGTCGATGGCGACTCTTGCTAACCACAATATTTGTGATAAAATGCAAAATCAGTAAAGTCAGTTCTCCCACCGTATTACAAAGTCTCATAGGAAATACCTGGGCAAATGATGGCTAGCTTGGATGGAAAAAAAAGATATATCAAAGCTCTATTCTTTTTACAACGTGGACAAAACACAAGTATATTTTCGTATTCTCAATCACCAAAGACAGTGAAACCAACTCTTTCTAGAAGCACCTTATGTCTCATAGGTTATGATATGTTAATATCCACTAAGATCCGCATGTATTGGCCAAAGGTTATATCTATTCTAGGCTTGGTTAAAGCTGTATCTGTACAAATTGGGTGTTATAATACTACTAGTTAAGGCAAAGAGGATCATAGGTTTCCGGTCTCCTGCGAGAGTCTGAAAAACCTAGCCTAAAATTACGGCTATGTGTTGATTATAGGGGTTGAAATCCCTAGAACAAGCGAACAATTTTAAGAAACTCGGATTAAGACTCCGCGATTCTAAAGGTTTAAATCTCCTTACATACTCAAAATAAGAAATTATAAAGTTGGGGCAATGGAAATCACAATTTGGCTAGGCACTATAATTAGGGGTGGCAAAACGGATATGGCCTGTCATACGTGCCATTTTGTCCGTACTTTTTGAGGCACTCAAATATTTGTCCTGTGTTGCCACGTTTTTTTGCAGACGCGAATATTAACATTAAGTTTTGTAATTTTTATACTAAAAAGATGTCATACGGGCAAGGCCGTTTCGCCCCGCCTTTTTTTTGGGGCAGATCAAAATTTAGGTTTGCACTTTCAAAAATATATACCCCAACCTACCTCATTTACTTGCGGACTTTTGCGAAACGGATTTAAACAGAACGGACTTATGTGTTAGTCACACTTAAATACGATAGGAAACTTTGTAGTCTCGATGAAGGAATAAATTGAAAGAAAAAAATGACTACATGAAAATAATTAATAATCCATATATTAATGAAGTTAAAAAATGAAAGAAAATAAGTACAAAATTTTATGGATCCTTAATAATAATAGAGATCTACATTCTTAATTTTTTTTAAATGTTGTTATGTAAAAAAATATAGGTAAATTACTGGATATCATTAAAAGTTAACCACAGAACTTATGATGTGAATAAAAAACTATTTTATTTATTTGCAAAATAAATTCACTAATCTTTATTTTTATTTAGTAAATTACGCAAATAGATCGTCTTCTGCTCTATTATCTTCAGGTCATTATCCTGCTTCAAATCAATGATTAATAGTTAGTGTTAAAGTAATATTTTTAAAAAATTAATATGCATTGCATGTAATCCAAAGGCTCAAATTAAAGTAGAAGGTAGACAGATAGACATCAGACAAAAAGCTGCAGAGGATCCAGGTCCGTAAATTGCCAATCAATTTTTATATTTCAATGAAAATCAGGCTTAGTCTTCTTTTCTTTTTTTTCTTTAAAAGTATCATAGTTGTAAATATACTCGTTTGACAAAAATATTATTTTGAAAGAAACATTTTTCTAACTACTAAGCATGTGGCAGATGATAATTGGTGGAATAAAAAAACATAGACATAAAATGCTTAACAGCTGAAAGAAGCAATGAACACTAGAAAAGGGACATTGGTCCTCAACAAAGACACACAAATTGCAACATCTCTCTCTATATAAAGTCAACATAGCCGTTGTACTTCACCCTCTTCTTGTATTATTATTATTATTATTTATTAACCGTTTCCCTCTTCATCAAGGAATCTCTCTCTTTATTTTCTCTCTCCACCGCTCCTCCTCTTCTCCCCCAACCCAATCCAATGAATACCCTTGTATCAAAATCCAAACTTTCATCACCATCATCAAGTTCTAGGAGCAATGCCAGTACCTGTAGCACCACTGAAACCAATGATAGTTATAACGTACTAGGTCTTAACTGCAAATTACCTCCATTCACATCCTTTTCTCATCGCTCATTAGCAATCCTTTCGGGACACGTTGGTTCTGTTTCGTCTTTAGCCTTATGTGGTGAGTTCATATTGAGTGCTTCACAGGGCAAAGACATCATAGTATGGCAACAACCAGATTTAAGGTTGTTTGCCAAATTCGGGCAGGGCGACGGGTCTGTCAAAGCACTTGCCACCGTTGGTAACAAGGTTTTCACAGCTCATCAGGATAGCCGGATTCGTGTTTGGAAAGTATCCAGGAGTTCGGAGAATGTGTTTAAGCTCCTCGATACACTTCCGACAACAAAGGACTATTTGGGGAAGTTTATGAAACAGAGTAATTATGTTCAAACGAGGAGGCATCACAAGAGGTTGTGGATTGAACACGCAGACAGCATTTCTTGTTTGGTTGTTCATAATGGGTTGGTTTATTCAGGGTCATGGGATAAGACACTTAAAGTGTGGGGTGTTTCCGATTTGAAGTGTTTGGAGTCAATTAAAGCGCACGATGATGCTATCAATGGGTTGGTAGCGTGTAAAGGGGTTGTTTATTCTGCTTCTGCAGATGGGAAGATTAAGGCATGGGGAAAAGGAAAAGAAGGGAAAAGTTTGCATTGTTTGAAATCTGTTTTAGAGGGTCATAAAGATGTTTCGTTTAATTCTGTTGTTGTTTCTGATGATGGGAAATGGGTTTATGGAGGTGGTTCTGATGGTTGTGTTATAGGGTATGGGTATGAGAGGAATAATGGTGGTTGTGAGAATTGGAAAATGGTTTGTGAGAGAAAGGCACATGAAATGGCTGTTTTGTGTATGTGTTTGATAGGTGAGTATTTGTGCACGGGGTCAGCAGATAAAAGTATAGGTATCTGGAAAAGAGAGTGTTTTGGTAAAGTTTGTAAAGTTGGGGTTATAACAGGACATGAAGGGCCGGTGAAATGTTTGCAAGCTTCACTGTCCAATAGAATTGGTGGTGGATTTTTGTTGTATAGTGGTAGTCTTGATAGAAGTGTCAGAGTTTGGTGGGTTCCAAAGTATGATAAAACACAAGTAGCATTGAATGATTCAATTCCTCATAACATGTTAGCAACATGCTGATTGAAGGGTTATGAATAAGAAGCACATGATCTCTTTTTGCTGTGTCTACTTGCTTCTTTCTTTCATCATTTTTGTTTTGTTTTCTGGTTTTTTGGTTTCTACTTGTTGTTTATGCATTCTTTCTTTTCTTTTCTTTTTTTTTTTGTCTCTAAGAGTTGATTGTAGAATTGTAGAGTCAAATTGGGGGATATAGCAGAGTGATTTGGTTTGGTTATACATTTATATGTTTCTATACAATTGTAACTGTGTCTATAAGACTCAATCAATGGAAATAATTATTGTTCTTTTGAATCCATTTGTAGCTCAATGAAATTGTTGTGGAATGTTGCAATTTATTTCCCTACTTTACCAAATTAAGAGATTGTACTGTCCCAAAATCCAGATAAATACCATAGTATATTAGAAGCTTTTCAGCTGCTAAAACAAACAACTAAAATAAAGAAAAAGAAAAAAATTCTTGCGACAAACAATTATGTCATTATTTGATTTTATGTGACATATTTGCTAGCCAATGGTTTCCGTATGTAATAAGCTTATTCATTATTGTTAATGGAGCCCAATTTCACTCACTATAGCCATTGTACAAGTATTAGGGATGGATACCGGTCGGTTTGGATTGGATTCGGGTCCAATATATCAAACCGTTCCAAATCATAGATTCAAGTATTAGGTCCAATTCCGACCAAAATTGTAATCGATTTGATCGGATTCGGTTTAACCGGTTTATCGATTAAAATGGATCGGTTTGATCGGTTAACTGAAATTGAATTGTCATGAAAAAATCATTTATATTCTAATTTTTTTAATTAAACAATTTTAAATAATAACTTTAAAACAATAAAAAAATATAAAAAATGACACAATTTAACATTATTTTGCATTCAAAAAATAAATTTGGGCCTTCACACAGACTAATTTGCAATCATACAAATAAACTCATCAATGAACACCTTACTTATCCTTCTTGATTGTGCATGGCTTTCTCTCAAGTGAGTTGTCTCTCTCTGCTTCTATATGCTCATCCATGACCTCCTAAACAATAAAATATGTTTGAACAATAAGTCATATATCACTAACAATCCTATACTTCTATGAAACACACAAATATTTAAATATTAATTTAAGTATATGCATATCACTAGAAAGTAGGAAAGTAGAAAATGAATTCAAATTTTACGTGGCTTAGAATCAAAACCAAAACCAGTAATTATTTATCCATCATTAGGTCCATACACAAGCATACTATTTGTATGCACACAATCACATACTTTACCAAAACAGCATTAAAGCAAGCTAAACTTTACAAAAACACCATTAATGCATTTAGCAAGCATCTAACTTGTGATTTTAAAGCATACTTTACAAATATATATAAACATATTGTCACTAGCAAGCAAAGCAAAACATACTGCCAAACATTGCAGAAAAAAACATATAAACATATTGTCACTAGCAGGCAGAGAAAACATATTGTCACTAGCATGCAAAGATAAATATTGCAGCCATTAGCAAGCATATATAAACATACAGTTTCAAACATAAATTGTATGCACTCTGGCACTCCTATTATATTATATTATCACACATACCATGACTCATACAATTTCAAACATACATTTTCAAACATATACAAACATACACAAACATATATAAACATACACAAACATATACAAACATATTATCATACATACCATGAATGTAACAATGAGAATAAAGAGGAGACAAAACTCTCAAACAAGGAGAATAAAAACAAACGTGACGTACCTGGTTGAACTGCAAGATTCATGAAAGGAATCAAAATTTATCAGATTATGAAAATGCAGAATATACTTGATTCCCAGGTATGAAGGTGTGTCTGATGACAAGACTTCTTTCTATATCAGTGACATACCCAATTAAATACGCTAGCCTCAAGAACTGCCAATACATGTAAAAATCAAAAGCAACATTAGTTAACATTGATATGTCACATAATATCAATATATTCAATAATAATCCAAGCAAACAAAATAGGGAAGGAAAAAGGAAAAAAAATGATGTCTTTGATTCAACTCCATTTACATTTCAATGGTGGATTTAAGCCATAATCAAAACCAGAATAGAAAATGACTATTTAGTGACTTCATGAGATGAGTGTTTCACCTAAACTCTGGCTAAAGAATATAGGTCACCAAGAAGACAAAAGAACTTCTTCTCTGCATCTGGTGCCACAAGTCCATCACTATAGTTGGAAGCGGTTGCTTCAATTAAAGCCAAGCAGTTATCACCCAAACTTCATGCATACAAAAAGGAAGAATACGTTGAGAAGAAACAGTATATAGAAGTCAATGTCGGATAAACAAAAGGTAAATACATAGTTCAAATTGAACTAATTTAGGAAGATACAGGTGAGCACTTATGAACAACACAATAAAATACCTCATTCAATGCCAAGGATTTTGTGAAGCTTAATATGAACGAATAACCTATGCTACCTGAATAGGTCGATTTAACTTGAATAAGAACTGCAAAATGACAGTAAAGTACTAAACCATAGGAGGCTTAATAAATAAATAGTTGCTGAACACAAGGATCTATAGCTCAAATACTGAAAACTCAGAAACTGAAATACAACCAAAACACAAACAATAAAACAACAATCAAAATACACCGTGACCAACTAAATATTTACACATTCATTCAATAGGTTGAACATATTCATAAAAATGGCCAATTTAAACAATTTCAACATGTTCAACATTCATTTATACATAAACCAATTTAAACATTTACATATATGAATGAAAAATGTGCAGTTTATTATTTAACAGGTTCATAAAAATGGCCAACAATTTTTTTGAGAGATTGGGAGATGGAGAGAAGGAGACAGAGAACAAGGAGTGAGTGCAAAAAACTTACATGATAGATCGATGTTGGCAAAGTGGTGGCGAGTTCGTGGCTTGTTTAGGGTTAATGAGATGAATACGGCGTTGCATTATTGTGTGTTGGAGAGAGGAATGCTGAATGAAATTGAAACCCTAGCTAAGTGGAGAAAACTTAAGTTGGGTTTGGGATTTTAATATTGGACCATATGTATTCAATTAATACAATATCCAACACTACAATAGTAAAAGAACAGATAATAACAACTTATTAACTGGTCGAATGCGGATTTCGCTGGGCTTAAAGCTACAAACTGAAACCGACCATACCAACCCATGTGAATCCAACACCTGACAACCCGATAACCCGAGAAACCGACTCAACTGACCCGTTTCTTCGCGGGCCAAATGGACCAGACGGATTGGGCCGGTTCTGAAATTTCTGTCCAGCCCTAACAGGTATAGTCAAAACAAGAAGATAACTTTAACCCATCTCTATACTCACCAGTCCCCTTTATTACACTACGGGTTTCAAATATTATTCTTTTTTTCACTTATATTAAGAAAATTATTGTGTTGATTGTGAAGTTTTTTATTTTAATACTCATGTATTGAAAAAAAATATATATAAATAACTATGTTTCGAAGAAAATTACGCAAATAATCATGTTTCAGAAAACATGTGAATAGTGGCGCCAAGTCAATTGGCGCATGATGCACACAATTTTTATAAGGATGCGCCAACTGAGATGGCACATAGGTGCAATGTGTTTGCCCTAAGCCATCTTAGATAGCGCCTAAGTGCTTTTAGGGGCAAGATGACTTTTTTTCTATTTTAAGTAAAAGACAAGTGCGAAATGATATTGCATAAGTTTGATTTTTCATTAATAACCATACGATTACATAATGAGAGTAACAGTTACATTTTATTTAGTTGTTCCTCCCTAGTACTTGATAACAACCCTCTGTTCTGCATCCATGTTCCCACCTTGTTCTTGGTGCGTTTCAACGATTTTCCTGTTGAGGTTGGGTCGAAGGCCCAATGTAGTCAATGCGTTCAGGATCTAAGAAAATCGCCAGATCAACACATTCGGAAGATCCGCTTTGAAAAAGTCAGTTACCCATGCCCTCAAAGTTCCATCGCATTGGTTGTGGGTGGGGTTCCATGGGTGGTCGATAGCACTGGTCATCTGAAAAAGTGGGATTTGTGTAAGTAAAAGAGTCGTGTGGTGTTTGGTATTGGGATTGTTGGGTGTTAGGGTGATGTGATGGTTTACGGTAAGATGGGTAGGCTAGGTCATATTCTTCAGGTTCGCCTAGATCTGGGCTAAGGTTAGATGATGAGGGGCCCATATTGAGATGTTGGATGTGGGGCATTTAGGTGTATTGGTATTGAGGTTGGGATTGGGGTTGGGTGTAAGGCATATGAGTGTACTGGTTTTGAGGTTGGGATTAGGGTTAAGTGTGGGGCATATGGGTGTATTGGTATTGAGGTTGGGATTGGGGTTGGTATTGAGGTTGGGGTCTGTGTCGTCGTGGTGTTTGATGGGAGGTTGATGTTTGTTGGGTTTGTTGTTGGGATTGTTGTTGGGGTTGTTGTTGGAGATTTGAGGATTATGCCAATTGTGTGTGTGGATCGAGCAAATACCTCGGGTGAGACACATGCATTTCAGGGTTAGTAACCGACATATACCAATCAACATATTGATTTGTGTGTTGTATATTACTCTGGTTGAGAAAAACAGGAAATTGTAAGATATGAAGGTGATGCCTAGCCCACATCTTGCACCATTCCGAAGCAAACTCTTTCCAATTATTAACACCTCATTGGGCGTCCACCCTTTTGAGATGCCAAGGTGACAAACTAGTCGGGTCGAATGGTATTTCTTAATGCATTCGAAACTGCATCTTGACACGATCGTTATGGTGTATCTTCATAATATTGAAATGTATGATTGCAGTCTTTGCCGTTCAAACTGCTGCATCCTCGGGTTTGGGTTTATGCTCCAAACCCAAATATGGTCTCCAGATAAATTGTGGATAAAAATTAATTACAAGATAGAAAACATTAAAAATAAATAATTTAAAAGTAGAAAATTTTAGAGGTACTACGTACGTCATTCGGGCCAAGGTGATCCA